ATTTTAATAAAAATATATGTGCCCTTCAAAAAATTAATAACATTATTATATAATTATGTTATTTTTTGTTATAGCCTTGTATTATAGTAGCTGTTTATTTCTATGACTACAAAGCAACCAATAAATGATAAACACTATACCGGTCCTTAATGTTGTTATGCCCTGAATCCAGCCAGTGCCCCAGCGATTGTCCCTAGCGTGCCCCGAGGCACTAATACGAAGCCCACCGAGCCGATGTGGAATTTCATTAGGACCTTTCTTATACCATTTCTCATGATTCTTGAGTGAGCAACCGACTTGCGATTGCCTATTACGTTTTTGTATATCGATGACGGGTTTTTTGAATCCAATTTTGATTATATATATTTACATTTAACAATTAAAAAAAATGATAAACACTATACCTTACCTCCAAATAAATCAAACTCAAACTATTTCTCATGCTGTGATAAATGACACATGCAAGCTCACGCGGCATTGTCGGATTTGTTTTTTTATTTTTTATTTTTTTTTAAAAAAAAGTAAAAGTAAAAATAATATTGTGGCACAATCACGCAAAGTACCTCGATATCGATAACGTTAGAAAACAGACAACGATGTTAAGGGCATCTTCAATGGTAATAGCTATTACTAGCTATATGGTTAGCTGACGTGGATGTGAGAGATAAGAAAAATAACTATTTTACATTATTGGACCCACATACCTCTCTCACATGATCTTGTGCTACGTGAAATAGATAAGCTATTTGTTAGTAGCTAGTGACTACTCTCTCTCTTACTTTTTCCCTGTCCACGTCATAATAGTTAGCCAAATAGCTAACCATTGGAGACGCCCTAATACACCGTACACGTGTTGGGGGACCATTAACTCACAAAACAAATGCATATAGCTAATCATTAGCTACTGCACCATATGAAGTTGGTGAGTATTTGCTAATTAGCCTATTACACTATGTGAAGTCAAATGAGTTTGAAATGAAAGTAAGATGTAATTGGAAAACAAAAGATAGTGTAACCAAGGTTCTGAAAACCAAGGTTATCAAAATCTTATCGAACTGGTCAAACTACTGATTCAATAGTTCAGTGGTTGAATTAGTGGTTGAACCGATTTGACCATTATTTAATTTATTAATATTAATAATATATATAATATTTTATATATTAAAATTTACGTATAAAAGTTTTATTAATTAAATATTAAGACAATTTTAAACATTCGAACACTTAAACTAACTAATATACATTTATATATATGTATCATATAAATATGTATTTTTTTATTTGCTGATAGAAATAAAATAATAAGAAATAAAAGTGGAACAGGCCACTTTCTTGCAAGACTTTTTTTTCACGACAATTATATTAATAACTTAAAAATTCAAAAGAGTACAAGTATCAAATGACACACTGGAACCAAAAGACTGGACCAACCCTCTTGGCAACACACATAAGAGGTACTAACTCCATTAAGCAGACAAACAATCACAATGCAAAAGCAGACACATTGCACTAGAAGCAGATAAAGTTTCACTAACAAACCAACAAAAACAGAAAAAAAAAGCAACACACACCTAAAAACATACACTAATAATAAGACCTCCCCTACACCAATCACACAAAACACACAGTCGCCCGAACCAGCGGGCAAGCCAAATTCCACCGCACATAAGCCCAAGAGAGGAGCAGACCGAAACTCCAGACCCAAAAATTGCGACGAAACTCGAGTCACCTAGACAGATTTGACGAGGAGTAAATTCTCATTTCATATCTGGCCTTCATAGAACATCTGCACCGGAGAGAAAAGGCCCACGCGAAGAACGACAACAACAAGACACAGTACCGCCGCCCAGGCCAAGAAAGACAGCTCAGCCAAGTACGTAAGACTCAAAAGCCAATAAATTTTGGCATCATACGTCCCGTCCCAGTATCCCACATCGCTTAAGACACTCACTTTATTAGGATCATGGAAGGTATCTTTTAGTAGTAAATTAATGTTTATGGCCCACACAGCATGTTCGGCCTGAAATGTGTAAGTCGAAGTATCAAAACAATCCAAACTTTAATGTGCTAAATGAAAAACCGTTCGCCAAAACGTACCGTTTCTAGTTTTACTGGTTTTACTGGTTTTCGATCGGTTTGAACGGTTTGTAAACGGTTCTTGAGTCCAACGGTACCTCAAACCGGACCGGTGTTATGGCCAGTTCTCGGTTGAACCGGTCAGTCCGGTCTGATTTTATAACAATGCTGAAAAGTGAAAACAGAATCGGTCATCAAACCGGTTAAACTGCCGGTATAGTGGTTCATTGGACGGACTAGTGCGAACCGTTCGAACCGCTTTAATTATTATATAATATTTTTATATATTTTATATGTATAGTATATAATATATTATATTTTCATCATTAATTTCATAATGTATAATGACACTTTTCTAAATAATAATTCAAGAATCAATAATTTACCATAAACAATATTAGTTTCGATACAACCTGCAACTACAAGTTTTTAATTTGTATTTTGATTTTTAATTCAAGTTTTAATTTATTTATTTTTCAGGTTTTTATTACGCAGAAAATAAAAGATTAAAAATCAATTTAAAGATTTAATTTTTTTAAAAATTCATGGCTACACATGTTAGGCTTGCAATCCAATCCATGTTGGAATGGTATCCATACAGATGCTACGGATGAGTATGTTAAAATTGGAGAATCTATAACAATTGAAAGTATGAAAATGTTTAGTCGAGCGATAGTTGATGTATTTAGCAAGCAATATCTAAGAAAGTCCAAAGCTGATGATACTTCTAGATGTCTATATATTGGTCAGAAACGTGTTTTTCCCATAAATATTGGGGAGTTTAGATTGCATGCATTGGAGGTGAAAAAATTGTCTTACATGGCCGTAGTGAAAAGTCTACAATCATTCTTAAAGATGTAACAAGTTATGATATTTGGATAAGGCATGCTTATTCGATTTGTCAGACTCTAACAACGTTATCAACATATTAGAATCATCTCATCTTTCGGATTAACCCCACAATATTGCTCCTCCAGCTAAATATAAAAATAAAATAAAATTATAACATGGTTATTATTAAGTTGTTAGCAAACATCCAAAACGGTCACCATTGTGCAAACAATTGATGGGCCACGTGGTCCGAAGAAAATATATTTGCAATGAAAAAAAAGGCATGCAGAAAAAAAAAAAAAAATAACATTGAATGTGTGTTTGGAGGTCTTCATTCATGTTTTGAAATTGTAGCATCACCAATAAGTTATTGGAAAAAAAAAAGAATTTCTATAGTAATCAATTATAACCACATGTATAATTTTGCATAACATGATTGTCGAGGATTAACGTGACCTAAGTGTACCAATCGAAACTGAGAATAAAA